CAACAATGATTTAGCTTCACCCTACCCTTTCCAAGGATCTCATTTTTACTGACCTATCTACCTATGAAGTCTCAAAAGACAAAATAAAAGCATATGAGGTTTTCAGACAGTCAGCACTGAGCTATAACACATATGTACATGCATATCATCATACTACTATATACTATTAACACCGTCACAAAAATCTGGTTAATCAGTTATTAATTCTCAGAAGGACCATTTAATCCTTACTCTGCTGTTTTGCTCAGATAGCATCACAAGATTTTATAAGCTCTTGTGCTTAATAGAAAAAGAGCTCAAGTAGATAATTGGTATGATCATAAAACTAAAAATATATTCAAATGGAGTGTTTCATCATTTGTAGATTTTTTTGATAATTGTCATTTTTTAAATATAATTGTGATATATACAGCGGTACAATCTAGTGTTGTCACAATAATAACATTTCAAACTTGATTTTGATACTTGAAATACAATATTTTAATAATAATTATTATAAAACTATTTAGGGAAGATCCAATTTGTCCTCTTTATTATTTAAAAAATATGAATACCTCAGATTAGTATATAGTTTTCATACTAGTTTTAGTAAGTACTTCAAACTATCAAACTATCAATAATGTTGACAACGCTTTAATCAACTCTTCAGTCAATATAAAGAACATGACAGGCTCCTGAAAATGCCATTTGCATTTTTGTGAGTTTTCAGACCATCTAAAAACATCTCTAGATGTGTGCATTGCGTCACCATGGTAAATGTGTAGATTGATGACATTGCAAAAGCATCAGTAGCTCACCCATGATATTGAGGATATTGTCTGCAATCTCAGTCGGCGTGACAGTGCCCTGCTTGGTGTCCGTTTGCAGGATTTTCAACATGGACTCCAGTTTGTTGAGTGTACTATTCTGACACTCCTCACATATGAACTCTCGATTCACAGCCTGCCAACACAAAGCGTGATGACGTTACAAACACTGAAATTAAGCTTTTTTTTAGCACTTTTCTCTCGCTTCTTCTCACCGTGCACTGTGCTAAAGCTGCTGACGTCTGCTGGATATCATTAACCGTGGTCAGGTCGAGAGAAGTCAAAGCTCTGGTGATGTTGCTTCTAACTCGGACTCGATACAAGTGCTCTGCTTGGGACCCCCGCTGGCTGGTCTGCTCATACTATTTGTGCAAAAAAAAAAGCTGAATCACATATTTTCTTCTTTTCTTTATATTGAACAAAAACAAAGGTACTACTTTAAAAGATCTAAATTTGCCTTAATAAAACATGAAAAAATATATACATAATAATTTAATAAATTGTTTATTAACTACCTATTTAAGGGGTTAGGGTTAAGGTTTTATTTAAGCTGTTACTAAGCCTGAATCATTTTCCTAGTCCTAACTGAATCAAATATAGTTGTTATAAAAAAGATTGTTTAATGACTTTTCTCACCTCATTTAGAACGGTGATGAGAGCCAATGATAGCTCCCTGACCCTCTGAGAGTCTCCCTGCTCCAGTAGTTTTTTGAGTTTTGTGTCTGTCAGTTCAGACAACCAGTGTGGGAGGCTACTGTACTGAAGCGGTGGATCTGGAAGCCCAACCTCAAGAGATCTAAATAATCAGCAAAGGGCACATCTTTAAGTAATACCATTTATAACATGTAAAGGATGAAACACAAGTTTGCTGCTTATGTTGAATATCTTTTCATATATATGAGCTATAGAGTTGGATGTTATACAAGGTAATTACTTATTAAGTGCAGTGTTGGTAGCTCCTTGGTGGTCTTCCACTGTGATAGACACAGCCACACGATGTCGAGCTGAGCTAAAACCTGGGGGAAGGAAGGCTGCGTGTTCAGGGCTGCTGCCTCTGTAGACACAAAAGTCCTCACAGTACTCCTCCCTGCACCTGGTCACCAACAGACTGTAGAGCAACGGGGTCTCAGAGACCCCCACATCACTGAAGCCTGCAAAGAAAAGATGTACAGAAGGAATATTAAAGTATTAAGTGAGAAACAAACATATGTGAAATCAGATTTGTAGGTTTAGTTATACCTGAGCAGTTAAACTGAACTCTGTCCATGAGTGTTTGTATTCTCCAGATTTCACCATCTTCAATGCCATAATCTACTCCCACTTCACCACCAGCCTTCAGGTGACACTCCCCACCAGCAGGGGGCATGTTGCGTTGCAGGGTTATGGACGCAGCGCCCTCCCCATCCAACCCAGAGTCGGTAACATGCAAGGTGAAGTTGTAGGAGTCACCCTCTCGCAGCACACCTGGTCTCAGCACCAGGTGCATGCCGTCACTTCCTGTTGTGGTGGAGGAGGAGTCCAGCACCAGGGACTCATTCTGTGACGTCATGGCAGTCCACCGCTGAAACACAAACACAAGTTCACTGACTGCAGATCATTTTCACATGGTTTATCATACAAAAAAATTTAATAAAATTTACCCCTCGGTGAAATCCCTCACAGTTGGTGCAGGTCCCCCTGAGGTAGAGTTTAGAGTTTTGGCTGACCTCATTAAAAGACTGAGCCTTACAAGAAACACACTCCAGATATACCGTAGGAATATCGCCACTCTGTACCAGCACCTATAAGCATAATACATCTTTTGTTTGTTTGAAAAACATATTTTATGCCTTTGTCAAAAAACTGGAGGATTTGTATACACTAAATAATTGCATGCATTTTCATTTCATTTGTTATAAAAGCACAAAATATAAATGTCTGATGTTGTACTATTTCTTGTTATGTTAAATCTCTTACCGTCTGTGTGGTAGACTCTGGAGCCATGCCATCTTTGCTGATTGTCAGTTTGAAGGTATATTCAACTCCTGCTTCAAGCTCTACACCTGATATGCCCAACACGGGGCCATTGGACCCCAATCCAAAATTCAGAGTGGAGCAGTGCTCTGGCCCCTAGAAACAGAAAGATGGAGACTAATAAGAGACGATAAAACAGAGCCAGGCTGTATCAGATGAGTGGCTTAATTGAAAAGTGCTCTTTGTTTACTGCATGAGAGTGAAATTGTCAGGGTGGGGACGACGCTCAGGAATGCTTAAATTATCTCTGTAAAATCACATGTGCCTCGCTGTTCAAATCACACACCACAGAATGCAAAAGCGTCTACTATATATAACACAACTATAAAGAACATATGTACAGTTTATCCCACACAAACATGTCTATGCAGTGAATGTGCCAGAAAATGCAACTTGCTTGTGTTTCAAAAAAGCTGCCAGGAGGAAAATACATTACACAACACATTCTAATGTGTTCTAATGTATTACCTGTGAAGTTCCTATGCACTCCCAGCGGTAGTGGAGCAGGGACTGGCTGTGTAGGTCCATGTTGGGGTCGAATGACTGCTCTGCACTAAGCTGTAGGTCCTGGCTCCGAGACCAAACTCTGTAGGTCCCTCCTTCGATTATAGGCATCAGCCTGGAGGAAAATTCATCATCATTTGAATGCTTTATTAAATTTTTTAAAAAATCATGATTTAGAAAAATATCATATCCACACACTTGTTTGGCATGACAGTGAGCTGCAAACAGGCCGCTTTCCTCAGCGGCACACCTTCGTACGACAGAGAGAAGACTAAGGAGTAGTTCCCCACTGGGAGGGACATCTTAGGAAGCGACAGCTGAAGGCGCCGGGTGTCCACCTCGGGCAGGTGAATTACTGGGACAGGCAGCGATGGCTCTGACATTACCTGGTCATCATTGCTATTATCACAGGAGGGAGCAGCAAGGATCTGCCAGAGGTACTGCTCCCCATAACGAACACAACCTTTCAAATCCACATTGGCCTCCACCAGAGTGGGCTGAGAACGCAAGATAGGCAGGCGAGGGGCCTGCACCACGTGCACCTCTGGCTCCTCACACTCCAACACAGTAATATTCACCTCCGCCTGACCCAATACCCAGCTCACCTGATTACTGCAGTTCACCTGGCAGGGGAGGACAAGTGCAACATGTCACTAATGTCTGACACAGCCAGCTACAAAGATATGAATATATGTCTAATAAAACAAAACATACTCTAACAAGATAATGGCCAGGCTTCTTGTAAATATATCCAACAGCTGTGTCTGCCTTAAAAGTAGCTGATCCATCTCCCAGTTCCCACAGACACTCCACAGAAGTGTGTCTGGGCGTGATAAAGGCCATCAGAGTCACCGTCTTATTGATAAAAGTGTCCCGGGGCGCTGCATACACAACCACACCACTAAGCACATTCTGCACCTGGATTTCCTTAGTGATGTGATCTTCACCAAGGCTGTTAAAGGCCTTCAAATGAATGGTCAGTGTTCCTGCTTCTTTTGGCTCATAGGACACCTAAGGTCAAAGAAAATGTAATTGTTGAATGAAATTTAAACATGACATTTTTAAATGACATTATTAAACAGGTAAGATGTTACCTCTTTCTTCATATGTGTAACTTTGTCTAAATGATGCAAATCTAGGGTCCACAGGAACCTAACATCACTGCCTGTCAGGATGTTAGCGACAAATGTCTTCTTTTCTCCGACTGGAATGGCTGTGGGACAACAACCCACTATGGAAAGGCCTCGCACGCTCTCCATCACCTGGACGTGGAGAGTATACCTCTTTAAAGAGACCTAAAACACATATTGCAAGTTAGAAATTACACCACAAATCGTCATAATTTTTAACTAATGTTTTCTTTTTCACCTTGTTCTGAGCTGTGACAGTAACCTTGTACACATCCACTTTGGTAAAAGTGTGACCGTAGGTTTGGTTGGGTTGCATAAATAACATGTTGTCTCCATTGATGCTGAGTACAATTTCAGGATCTGTACCAGTTGCCAGTGCTACAGTGAACTCCACCTCATCGCCCACACGTACATACGTTTTACCTTTGAGGACGAGTCCATTTATCTTGTCCTGTACAACAATATTTCTGGACACGACATCTTCACTGATGTCATTGGATGCCTTCAATGAAATATTTGTATGTTTTGGTTTGAGAAAAGTATGAGATATATTGTTTCCTGTTTCTGTCTGTCCATCAACTGTCCATGTCCACGTAACATTGGTTCCAGTGATCACCTCCCCTTGCAACCAGTTTATAAAACCGGTTGACACGTAACTTAATTCTGTTGAATTGATTGTAAATCTTAGCCCAGAGATGTTTTCCTGTACCCTAACAGTCTCTGACAAAATGTCTGAGCTAACCTCATTGAAAACCTCTATTTCAACTGATTTCAGTCCAGCAGTGTCAAAACTATGCATCTTTGAGGACATGTTCCACTGTTGCACATCTTTGTTTATCATCCACCGGTATTGTAAGTTAGATCCTTTATTTGCTAAGATGCTCATGTTAATGGGAGAGTTTACTGCAACAGGATTTTGGCTGATTTTCAAAGACAGCATTCCCACTGGTTCAAGAAAGTTGATGGTCCGATCAACAGTCAGATGGCCAAGAAGATTGTCCGCACGCAAGGAAATATTACAGAGGCCTGGAGAAGAGATGTTCATCTCCACAGTTTTACCAGTTATATTATATACAGACAAGTGAGGCTCAAACTCTCGAATTAAGTTCCAAGTAAATGTCATATTCGTCCCTTCTTTCAACCCAGCCTGAAGATGGAGTATGCGATTTGTGGCATAGTAGCATTTGTCTGTTGAACCAATACCCCTGAGTTCATCTTCTGGTATAATGTACAGCCCCTCAAGTTCACGCTGCACAAATAACAAGATGCTAGCTTGTGTAGTGTTTATGTCATTTTCAGCTATCACAATGATTGTAAAAGTACCCACAGATCGAAAGGTGTAAAACATTGTATTTGTCCCTACAATTGAGGAGCAGTGGTCACACAAAATCCATGAATAGCGCACACCATCTCCCTCATCCATATGCGCTTCAAAATTCACCGACGCATTTAAAGGGACGTTAATCAAGCTTGAGTTAAGAGTTAGGTTTCTGATTGGAGCCAGTACCGCCACAGACAAAACTGTCTGATTGCTGCTAACTGTGTTCACTGCTATTAGCGTGACATTGTAATTTCCTGAAATGTTGTAGGTGTGAACAATACTTGTACCATTTTGCACAAACCCATCTCCAAAGTGCCATGTGTAGAAGACATTGGTGGCTAAGGAGGATGTGTGGAAAGCATAGGGCTCTCTCAGAGTCAGGTTGTTGTGATTGGTGCCATTATGTAAAATTGGAATTGGTCCAATTGGCATTTGAACCTCAATTTTGACACTGGTGTTGAGAGAAGAGATGTTACTGAAGACGGTGACAGTCACAGTGTAATGGCCTGGGTTTGTATATTTGGTGGTCACATTTCCAGATCCTACAACAAGCACAGGGTTATCACCTCGGCCAAAATCCCACTCATAGCTGTAGTTAAAGTTGGGTTCAGCTAGGACTTGAAACCAAATTTCCTCTTCAACTGCGTAGTGGGATTTCTCATGAGTGAAGCTGATGTTTTTGAGAGCTGGTTCCACACAAACTACCACATTTTTAGTCGCTATACTGACACCACTTGAAATGGATAGAGTAAGGATGTAGTTCCCACTTCTTGCATAGGTATGTGAGGTTTGAGGATTTCCACGCACATCAGTGGTATTATCATCTCCAAATTTCCACTCATAAAGGTGAGCTGAGGAATTTCCAGTCACAAATGCCAGGAAATTTATGGGGGTATTTTCATGGACACACCCCGCTGGTTCAATGTGGGCAATTTGGAATATAAATACATGCACAGGTAGGATTATCCAGGCAGAGCTCACCGCATTTGAGGCAGTAACATTCACCGTGTAGTTGCCATCAGACTTGTATTGGTGCGATATATAAGGTTCAAATACAGTGTGGTGAGAGCCGTCACCCATAGAGAAAGTCCAAGTCACGTTATTACCAGATGTAATATGAGCCTGCACTATTGTAGGACAGTGCAGCTCAGACGGAGAGGATGTACTCGCTGTCAGGTTTTCAATTTTCTCATACACAAGCATGACAGCATACGCAGCGTGAAAACTTATGGTGTTGTTGACTAAGACACAGATATTGAAGACGCCACTGTGAGTATATGTATGGTTCAAGAGTCGACCCTGTTGTGGGGCAGAGCCATCGCCGAAGTCCCAGCTATAGTGGATCCCGTACGGAGAGGGCAGAGGGTGGGCTTCGAATTGAGCAACTTGGCCAGCGAGCAGAAGCTGTGGTTGTGTCTGTATGTCCACGTGATTGAGAATGCTGTAGACGCTCATGTTGATGGTTTGACTGATGTTTTCATAACGGTTGGACACGGAGACTAAAGCTGGATAAATCCCTGCAGAAGTAGAGAAGAATTTACATTACACATTTATTCATTTGTCAACCATAAGCCCAAATGTAAAAACAATGATGTAACAATGTAATTAAAGGTACACTATGTATCTAGTGTATTCTAGTGGAGGGTCCGCCACATGCTTGTCTCCCTGGAAATTTTATGGCTTTGCCTGGAATGTTGTACAGCATGCCATTAAAGTTATCTATCATGCATTTATTCAATACAGGGGTTATCAATTCTTTATTCTTCTATATGCCATACTGTGGAACATTCCAAGCAAAGCATTTACACCTCCAAGGACACAAGTACATGTTGGACCCTTCACTAGAAAAGTGACATTGTTCACCTTTAAAAGTATATTCAAACTCAAATGCAAAATGATAACCTGTCATCTGATTGCCAGATGTGTATTTTACATACTTCAACACTTCATACTGTATGAAGCTTCAATGTTATTAATCATAATAGAGACTAAAATTAACTGCCTTGTCAGTATTTTTTAATAAGTAAAGTATTGATTAAAAAATGTTTTTTATGTAACTGGCAAATAAACAAACTTGTAACTATTTAATAAAGAATACCTGGTTGGGAGTAGACATAAGTGACGTTGTTACTGAGTAAGATTTGATTGGGGTAGTCTGGGCTTTGCAGAGAGGCAGGGTATGGTGGCTTGTATTCAAACTCTTTATATCCACCATCACCAAAATTCCAACTAAAGCAAAAATACAGACAATTAAAATGATGTAGAACAGGTAAAAGTAATAATACAGAATACAGACTACAGAAGCATTTACAACATTAGAGACTTGGAGAGTGAAGTGGAAAGTCAAAACACAGGAAGCTGCAGTGGATCTGGGTTGGTGTGAGCATAGAGGCCAGAGAGAGGAGGGTGGGACTTCTTAAGGAAAAGAACTAGAAAGAAAAGGGCTAGTGAGAAAAGAAGGGAAAATTCTTGTCAGCAATCTACTCTAACCGCGCAGCCATAAATCCAAGACTCTGCAGCTAAGATTACTGTTGTGATGTTACAAAAAATGAAGGGAAGGTTATAACAGGGAGAAATGGCTATGAGTAAGTAAAAGAGCATTCAGAGATGCCATGCTGTGTCATCAGGAGGAAATGGAGAAAAACTTGAGGATAACAGGTTTTCACAACATGACCTGCCACATAACATCAATCAAACTTGTATTTAATATCAGCACCACAATATCTATCCACTGCCTCGCTGTTTTTACCGGAAGGTAGCAGCCACGGACATGTCCAGCAGCACAGAGGTGGTAAAAGTCTGAGTGGAGCCCTGGGGGACAACATCCGGGACTCCCTGAACTGAAAGGTTTGACATGGGAACCAGCCGGTCAACCGTTACATTAAAGTGCTGTGTGATGGTGCTGACATGGTTCATGGCTGTCACCTGCAAAAACAGTATCACACAAGAGAGAGGGTCAGAGTGAGAACGAGGGCGGCAAAGCTGTACAAGGTAAAATACAAAAAGTCATTATTAGACAGACATTTTTTTAATCAGTCAATATACCACAAGGTCACATTGTGTCACAATTACACATGTTGAGATTTAATTTACATTGCATGCATGAGTCTATTCAAATTATACAGTATGTAATGAGGCAGACCTGGGCTGAAAGGAACTTTGTTGGCACATTGTTAGGGTGAGTGAATAGACTCAGGGCACTCACCGTGAGCTTGTAGACCGCAGCATGCTGGTAAATCACATTGAGCACAGTGTTGTAATAAGTGAAATAAGGCTTGTCATCAACTGTCCATTTAAACGTGGGATTAGAGCCTTGTGCCACAGACGCAGTGTAACTCTGAAAACATAAACAGTCAAACATATAATATAACCACCTTCAAATGTCAAATTTTAACTTAATGAATAAACAAAGCCCAAGCGCACCACAACAGACTCCATCAGCACTCTGTGGGTGGGGTGTGGATGCACCATCAGCCCCTGTAGCGCCTCCTCCAGGTGGACCACCACAGACAGACTGGCCTCTGTCACATTGTTATGAGCCTCTAGACCCAGGTGTATGGGACCCTCGGGACCCTCCTGCCCCTCCTGCCCCTCTAGCCCCGGTGCCAAATCGAGCACAGCGTACTGACAGGGCTCAGAGGCATCAGCCTGGGACCCTGTGTTTGGACTTGCCTGACACAAACCATGGCGAGACACAAACTCAGAGGGGCAAGTGGGCCCAAAGGTCACAGTGCTATTGGTTCCACTCCAAGTCACACTGGTCAAATATCGAGACTGAACACGCAGAAGAATGTGAGTATCATTGGGCTGGAGGTAAATGGATCCATTCTGAAGTGATGGGTGGATGATGGTTAAGCCAAGAGGAGGCACCACTTGCAGCAAACATGTGTCCAGCACTGGATAGGACGGTTCAGCAGAATACACCTACAACAGCCCAACAGGAAGTGGTTACTTTTTTGGGGGTGAAGGGTCCATAAAATGCTTGTCTCATAGAGATGTTATTGTTCTGGAATGTTTAATGTTAAATGTTTATATTTTGCATTTATTCAATTACAGTTGTTTTAATAACTTGAAAAATATTTTTTCAGTGAGCAGGTTAGCTCCTGCACAGATCTGACCTATAACTTGAGGAGACACCTGCTTGTCCTCATGAACATCATTAAGTCATGGGTAACAGTAGCTCAGTTGGTAGAATATTTAACCACTGATCCACAGGTTGGCAACCCACTCTTCACCTAAACATTGGCTGAGCGGTCAGAGCAACATACTTGACCCACCTCGCCCCCAGTGTCAGCGTATGCTAGTGTGTGACTGGGTGAGTGGTTGTTTGCTATAAAGTGTTTTGAGTCCCTTGAAGGTGGAAAAGCATGTAGCATTTAATGCCATACTGTGGAAGATTCCAGACATCTCCATAGAAACAAGAAGGTCGTGTACTCTCCTCCAGTAAACACAAATGCACAATATCATGTCTTCAGTAGTTATTGTCTTACCTGCAGAGTGTAAAGGCCAGGCTCTTTTAAACCAGTCATCAGATGCTGTCCTTGTAGCTGGGACTCACTGCATCCAGCGTAGAGGACTCTGACGGGGCAAACCACGTCTGTCACCCATCGTGCCTCCCCGTCCACCACCAGCGCCTCAATGTCCAGTTCAGGGGGAATACGGCCTGCTTCATGTTCTTCATGAGATCTGGTGCTGTCCAACCAAAACCACTCCGACTGATTTATGGCTAAAACTGACTGGCGCCAGGGGGAGTGAGGAGCAGACTGGCAGAGGAGGAGGGACCCTGGGCCTGCATCATGCTGAAGAGCAAAAACATCCCCCGGAAAGACAAGGAGGTCCTCTACTTGGTCTTGTATCTGGCAACAAACAGATTTACATGACTTGGCTGATATTATAAATTTTATTACAACTGATACAGTTAGTATGTTTTTATATGCCACAGAAAGGTAACTGAAGCAGTCAGGAAGTGGGGAGCTGCATTAAACAGGAAATAATTTCAAAATATGATTATTGACAACATAGCATATTGTCTCAACATCATCTCAATTCGATTTTTTTCCATGCCATATCACCAAATTTTTATGTATATTGTATGGGACAGTGACTGGTACTATAATAAAGTTTTAATGATAATCATGTTGCAAGGAACTGACTGAGCTCTTAATATCCTTAATATTGTTTTCATCTAATACATCATAAAAACGTAATAGTGGTGGCCATATTACATTTTTATGATAATTTATGTATTCCTTTGATATTTACTATGATTTTTAAATGCGTTCATGAAATTTCATTACGTTACGTATAATGTCAACTCACTGTTCACGTGTTATTTTCCAAATATGTTAAAATACCTGTATGTGTGTAGAGGGTCCCACTGGCAACGTGAAAACCACCTCATTTTGCAGTCTGTAGCGAGGCCTGAGCGCCCCGTGGGGTAAGAGTTGAGCCTGGGAGCAGTTGGAGCAGGACGATGGCAGGCACGGGGAGGACAAGGACAGGCACTGCTGCTGAAAGGGGCACCACTGCTGCAGTGGGGGGCATGACGGAGGGTCTTTGGCTTCAGAATTAGTGGGCACACAAACAGCAGTGGGTGCACAGGTGACACCTCCACAACCTGACACAGAAGTTTAGAAATAATCATTATGGCCAACTATGGTACAGTTATGTAGAGATTCTTAACAGTGTATTGGAGGAATAAGCTCTATTTGAGAATAATGACAACTACAGAAACAATAACAGTACATATGCCAGTCTGTACAGATACAAGTGGGAAGAGGAAGAGGTGGGGGAACCTTGTTATGTTTGTTAATGAGTTCTTCGTATTGGTGTTTAAGCCTCCCATTTATTCATGTGCACAAAAACCTTACCTTAAATGACAGTGTAAAATAATTTAGTTGTGTATGTATGCCCAGCTTTGCAAGGTGCTTTAAAAACAATGTGGTGCATTAAAAAAAGAGAGATTTGAGTGCATGAGTGTGATAGGTTCTTGTTTTGCCAAATTTAATTTAGATTAAAAAAAAAAAGATTTATTATTGTTTTTATTTGTTGATTGACTGACTTTAATTATAATACTAATTTTATTATTTTATCTTATATATGTTTTTGTAATTCCTTTATTTATGCAGTTTACTAGGTGTATTAATGTTCCTCATCCCATCCCCATCAGCTCCCCCAAGAGCAACAAACCCCCATGGAATCAAATGTTTTATGTATGTGAGATAATGGTTAAGAAGTTTATGTTTCGGTAGCTTGTTGTAGAAATAACAGTGGAGTTCAGACAGATAGGGGTTCCATCAATGATTGATTATTGGTCATTTGTAGAGATTCTGAGATCCATGAGTAGATTTTTCCAACGTGTAATGTTTATGCGTTTCCTGATTTTCCAATTCATGTCTTCTTGGCAATGACCAGAGCCACAAGAAGTATTTTGTCGTTGGGACGGGGTATGTTGAGTTGAGAAATGTTGCTGAATAAGCAGAGGGAGGGGCATAATAGGATGTGACTGCTTATGAATGTGGACAGGGATGTTAGAACCTTTTTCCAGAACAGTTGGATGCCAAAGGGCATAAATGTAAGTGTTGGATGTGTTCTGAGTGCATTTCGTACATGTGTCTGCTGAGAAACCCATCCCAAACAAATGTTTGACTAGTGTAGTGTGTTCTGTGTAGGATCTTGTACTGAATTAGTTGGAGGTTTGTGTTGTTCGTCATGGAATAAATATTCTGGATAACCTGAGTCCAGAAACTAGCACTGGGAGCGATTGAGAAGTCTTGATTCCATTTGTGTTATGGAATTGAGAATGATTTGCCTGAGAGTGAAATTAATCTGTAAATTTTTGAGAAGTTTTTTTTAAGTTGAAGGTAATATTAATTTATTCCGATACCCCTTTAGGAAGTTGTAGATTGATAGGGATACTCTTGTGGGCAGAATTAATTGCTGATTTAACGTGAAGGTATTCGAGAAGCTGTTTGCTCCCAATACCATACTCCTGGACTAGAGTCAAAAATTACATGTTCTGTCCCTGTTTCTAATGCCCTCCAAAAGACATTTTTTTTCTCCTTGTTTTTTAACTTCTAGAAATAAAGTTGACTTGAGTTGAATTTTTTAATGTATGAATTATTTCATATACAAAATTGTATTGTTTTTGTTTTTTGTCAGCTGCCCAAGGTTTGGAATGGTAACAGCACATCATCTGGCTCCAACTAGTCCACATTTTATTTATACTATCATTTGGTACTGGTTTAACTCTGACTGCATTTAACTCTTATTATCCTAACTTGAGATTAGTACAAAGCATACAATTTCAATTAATTATAGTCTTGACAAATGTCCAAAAAACCTTAATCAGTTCAACCTTAAATTATCCAATACAGCATTTTGGTGTCACTGTCACCTTAGTGTATACAAACCACGTATCTATAATAAAAACTGGATAAGATATTCCCCCCTGTCAGAGGCACTATTTGCTCTGATTGGTCAGAACTAGTCATATGGTGCACATTTCTGATATCACACATTGGGTGGCACTAGCCCGTATTGTGGAAGTAATGAGGAAGAGAAAATTATTTTTGGACCAATGCGCCAATGAGCACTCCCAATGAAAACAATGCAATGCCATTTTGGATTCACCTTTATTATACTTCCATGTTACAAATGCATGCGGTTTTAAGCAGTTAGCCAACTTGTCGGTGCCCTGTTGTTTTTGATATCTATGGTATATGATAAAAGAAACAGCACAGCATGTCTTGAGGCAGATACGCTCATGTGGGAGATGAGCTTGATCATTTGAGTGTTATCTCTATTTTTGGCCCTACTTTCTTTTGTTTTTGCAGCTTTCTCCTCTGAATCCTTTATCTAACAGTTTCAGACATGTTCAGTCAAGGCAAGTGCTGAGCGTAGTCTCAGAGGAGGGGATCAGGTGGTCTAAACGTTTCTTGACATCTGCCGAATGGAGGTGTTAAGAGCATGAGTGACTTCTTTGAGAGACTCACCGGGAAACAGCAGGTGAAGGCCAGGGTAGTGGCAGTAGGGTCTATAGGTCTGGAAATGAACTTGGACTTGTCTTTGCCGTTTCTGTGTAACAACCTCCAGTGAGGACAACCGACCGCCGTGGATAAAGTTAAGAGAAGGAAACAATAGAACCTAAGAAGAGATGAAATGGAAAAAAAATTACATTTTTGTCGTATTGATAAAATGTCTGGGAATGTCTGGTTTTATATACATGCCCATTTTTAAATTAAGCCTCTAGAAATATCACCTTGTTTTTAATCGTTGAATTCCATTTTTTTTTTTTGGCATCTTTTGGCATTTTTCTATTTGTAAACTAAACTGAGATTAAGATTTGAGTAAATTTCAGTTAAAACAGTGGCATGCATTCCTTACCTCAATGCCACTGCTTGTTGGTTTTGGAGTTACGAGTTGATCTACTTGGATATTGAGCAAAGGATTGTGGGTAGGAAACACAGCCAGGCCCACCATGTACACACCAGCATCTGGGACACGAACTAAAAAACAAAAACACAACAATGAGGACAAGTTCTGGCAGATTTATGCAGGGCACTACCCAGAAAGACTTGGGTCTAAAAATGGGCACAGGCCTAAGAACTAGTTCAGGGATAAATACACCTTACCTGAATCCATCAAGGTAATCTGGTGTTTTTATTGTAACATCATGGTGAAATGAAATACATAAACTTTTCTAGTGGAGGGTCTGCCACTTGCTTGTCTCCATGCTAAGGGCTGTAGTCAACAACAAAAAAAATCTTGGTCAACTAAAGACAGAATGCAGAGTAAACTATCCAGTCACTCCCAAAACTCCAACTAACTCAATCCATGCATTCCTTTTTCAGCTGTTTTGCTTGGTAAATTCTTATGATCTTAATAGAATAGTTAGTTGACTAATAAAAACTTCTACAAAGACATCAGAAGACTGTAGACCCAGTATTGTTTTTTGCAGTATATTCCACAGTATAGCATCTACCTACATGGAAACAAGCAGGTGATGCCACCAGGTCAAGTTACAGGTCATATCTGTAGAGAGGCAAGCCTGGTCAAAGTAAGACCCATGTTTTTGCACATGTTTTTCATGCATCATACACAGTTTTAGCAATAAAACACCTCATACAAGACACATAAGTTGAAAGACATCCTATGGAATATTTTAGGCAAAGCAATAACATCTCCATGGACTCAAGCTGGTGACAGACCCTTCACTAGAAAAGTTACAGTGTTTTTGCTTTCTATGAAAGAGTAATACATTCATAGCTTGATTTTACTCCTAATCCATTAAAGATGCCCTTTTATGGGCACCTAATCTGTGACCTCAAAAAATAAGGACAGTTCATCAATTTGCTCTGAATCATCTCCAACTTTTCTCTATGTCCTTTGAGGTTTAAACAAAGAAGAGAACAAAGACAGAAAAGCACCCTACCTAGTGCTGCAAACCTCCACACTCTGACAATAAAATCTCTCTTAGTTTGAAGGCCTGACAAAGCTCACGTCTCTGAGGAATGTGCAGTTAAGTTTTAAAGAACCTTGGCTCAATTAACACAGCTCCTGTTGAAAGCTGCACACACTTAACCTTTAGCTTCAGAGAGGAACAGAGGTCAAACATTGTTAAAGACACATTTCTTCAAATACCTGTTTACTAGTGAAAGAGCTGCAGTCTTACGAAACACACAGTAGGTATGTATTTTACCAAAAATAAAAATTATATTGAGTATTTTAGGAAAATATCCAATATCTTTGTTAAATTAGTAAAAATAAATACTGTAACCGAGACAAAGTACTTAGGTGTTCATTTGGAGCAAACTTTGTCATACAAAAAAATTAAGTGACTCAATCTCATACATGTCTTCCCTAAGACATGAGGAACAGCTTGACAATACAGGCTGCTTTCATATATTTCAGTGCCATGATTGTTCCACACATAACCTACTGTTTATCCTGTTGGTCTAAAGCCAATGAGACTGTGCTCAAATCTCTCAGATCCATCTATAATCAGTCATTAAGGCACTTGTAGTGTTATATCCTCAGTAAAAACAATTTAATTCTATATTCAAATCTAGTAACCCTATTAAAAAAATAATGCCACTCCACCTCCAGTGAAAACATATTAAACTTTGTTCTGAACAATCTACTCGATCCACTGTAAACCAAAACCAAAAAGACTGTGCCTTTTCTTTTCAGACCATCAAACTTCACTAGAAACTTGAAAAAGTGCATTTTAGATCAAGTGTGTCAACATTAGGCAAATTCATTTCTACTGTAATGTTTGTACAGAGTGCAGGAAACAATGTATTGGACATAGTGACATTTTAGTCTATTTTACTGCTAATAGTAATGATGAACTAAGTTGGTCTTATAATGTAATTGTAATGAAATGTGCATTTTAAGTGTGCATCTTTTCTTTTGTAAGATCAGTGATGTGCACCTGGCCCCCAACAAATAAATAACTAGAAAAGCACTCAGAGAGCGCAGACCTCCGCCAAGGACTACCCCCATTTTTTATATAAATTGCGATAAAATCAGTCTTCGGGATCAGATCTGGATCAGCCTTTGGAATATGAAAGAGGATCCCATTGTCCATCCCTGAGTCAAATTTCATGGGGTGGTCAATAATTAACCGAGATATTGAGAAACAAAATTTTTGGCCCCATTTACTACAATGTTAACTAAAATTTCAAAGTGATCCAGAATCCAGGATTTCTTCCGGATCACCCCCAAAATGAAATCAGTTCTTCCTTTTCACATTTCCAACAAATCCTGAAAATTTAATCAAAATCGGTCCATAACTTTTTGAGTTATGTTGCTAACAGACAAACAAACAAACAAACAAACAAACAGACAAACGCCGGCAAAAACATAACCTCCTTGGCGGAGGTAATAAACTAACTTTTTAAAATGTAATGTGTAAAAAAATATAAAAATGTTTGTACGCAGTTCTTATGTAGCAGCTTTTACAACATTGTAAGATAAAGAAAATAAATTTTTTAAGTGCCTGTTATTCCACTTACCTTGGGGCTTGAGCTCGCAGACATAGGCCCTCTTGATGTTACAGCGGTGTGAGCTGGTCTGTCCACGCTGGTCTAGGGAGATGCACATATTTCCTTTGGTTATCGCAGATCGGGGCGGAGGACCTTCCTTTCCTTCCTGCACCTCGGAGCCATTCACCCACAGCAGCTTTCCCGGTGACTGCACATCACTTAGGCCCAACCAGACTCCACGCTCCCTGACAAAACAGTATCAAGAGTGCTTAGTGAATAATGGTAGATGAATGTTCTAAAAAATTATGATTTTCTTGGATTCAAATTTTGAGTTTATCATCTCCATATACAAGTTAGTATCTTTATGTTGCCTTAAATAGGTAATTATCTCCTAACTACTGTGCATCGCACTTTGCTACAAATATTATGCTATTTTCTGTTATAATGTTGTTTTCTCATTACAAACATACCTGGAGTTGTGTTTTGTTTCATTCACCGTGTGTAACACACACAAACACTATATATTTAGGCTGAGTTCTTCTCTCAAACTGAAAACACTGTGTTCCACCTTGTGATATCATGTGATATACAGGAAGTGCTCCACTGTGTTTTTAATCTCTATTCATATTTACTACAATCATTTGGATCATTTCAGACCTGGATTTACCCACAATTAGATTTTTTGCCTTTTAATATTGCTGTAGACTAAAGAATCCAGTACAATAATTGTGTGATAGTTTACCTCAAAAATCGAGCCACAGAAATGGACCTTGATTGAAACCCATTGGTGTCCCCCTAGTGATTATGACAAATGTATTGAATTTTCTCTTGATTGAAAAGCTATGGGGTCTTGTTAAAGCACCCATGTATTTAATTGCATCCCGTGATCATAATTTACACACTGAAAAAAAACACTCATAGACAGCCCCTTCTGAAATGCTTGTGTATAAAAACAAGGCTTAACAGATGAATCGCATAGTTAGTCATGTCTTTTGCATAGATTTTATGCCAGATACTTGATGCCTTTTTCAAAGATAGATACTAGCAAAGAAATGTATTGTTATGCATTTTCAGGGTTATAAAGGTTCACATATTTTAACTTCCAACAGTTTTTATTAGGTCTATTTTTTTTCTCTTCACTGACATCTGAGAAAACAACGACAAATAGAAGATGGGGTATGTGGGGGATTTCAAGCTGAGAATGCAATAAAATATTAACTGACAAAAACAGGTTGTGTTATATAACAGAGCAGAGGCTGGGGCACAATAAGGGGATAATGGGGATTACACACATCTGCAGCATGTTTTTGTTACCCCAAGAATTTTCTGGGGTCTCCACATTCTAAATATTTCAATAAAATTCTCTGCATTGTGGAGAGCATGTGCACCCTGCTAACACCTCCAGTTTACAGAGCAGCTGTGTAAGTACAGATGTAAGTTGTGTTAACTGTTTGACCTACCTAAACACACCACACAAAAGCCTTGAAAGTAGAGCAAAGCCAGTGACAGAAAACAACAGACAGCAATAGGAATATATATGTATGTATATATATGTATATATGTATATATGTATATATGTCTATCTATCTATCTATCTATCTATCTATATATATATATATATATATATATACACACATATATATATATATATATATATATATATATATATATACATATATACATATATACATATATACATATATATATATATATATTGTTTCCCCAGATATCTTGTTTGATTGAGCAATGTCTCTTTTTCTAACAACAAAACATGGCAAAGGGAAAAGAAGACTTTTTACATCCTTACAGTGGCCTCTCCAGGTTTTAATAATAAAAAAGTGGAGACAAACACAGAGAGATTGAGTTAAATGAAATAAAACAAAACAATGGCTTTTGGGGTTTAGGGTTTGGGTTTTTATGATTGAATAGATTAGATGCCTTTAGTTGATCCCCGAGGGGCCATTCTGGTGCAGCTAGCAGCTTACAAACACCCGATTAAACAAAATATCACTATAAATTAAAGATAATAAAAAATAAATTATCCTTGCCTCTAGAAGTTGTTAAGGAGGCGATGGCTGTAGGAATGTGCACAGTTAATACAGCTGCTGCAACTATGGGTTTTAGACAGGCTTACTCCAGAGACAATTACGAAAAAAAATCTTTGGTCAGTAGAAGGAAGAATAAGGGAGACGATACTATCCAACATTAAACATACTATACATTTACATGTATTTGTTTAAAGTAGGCTAAGAACTCACTGTGTGACATTGATTGCCAACAGGCCACGCAGAGCCTCACTCCTGACTATAGCCAGATCCCCGCCACGGTCTAAACAGTGCTGTCGTGCGTCAGTCCAGTTCATCTCCTCTGGAAGAATCTGGAAACAGTGGGACGTCTCATTGTGGACCACTCCGCCGGGACAGTGAGGAGACGCTTTCAAGAGACAAAGAAGTTTTTAGTTACCAGCTTCTATTTCTGAACACCTCTTGTCTCTCCAAATATACTCAATAACAGGCAAAATAAGTATCAACAACAATTAAAGATATCAGACCAGAAATAAACCAAATCTAAAACAGTTTCAAAACCTGCTAAAAACAGAATTAAGTAATGTCTGCAGAAATTGGTTACTATTAAAGCTACTATATTTCCAAAATCATCTCCAGTAAGTTTTAAGCTATGTTAGAATATTGTTACCTCATCAAAAACATACCCAGTGTTGTGTTTGATTCATTTAAACGTGTTTGAGTAATCCTGTATTATTAGGTTCTCCAAAGCTCAAAATGCTCTGTTCGACCTTGTGATGAAGTGCTAGTTTCCAAGTCACTTTTATTTTTTGTTTAGTAGAGAATGGAAATTCCAGGGCTGAAATTATCCAAATGATTCTAGTGAAGGTGTATGGAGTTTAAAAACACAGTGGAGTTCTTCCTGTATTATCACATGACATCACAAGGTGGAACAGTGTGTTTTCTGTATGAGAGTAGAACATAACATAAATATCAACATAAATATGCAAAATCTGTTTGTTCAACATGTATGAATGAAACAAAACACAACTCTTGTGTATGTTTTTGATGAGGAAAAAACATTATAACATAGATCTGAAAATAGCGTAATACGGGCCCTTTAAAGAACAAGTACATGCATTGTGTACTCGGTGACCAACCTGGTTTTCTCAGTGTAATGCCATCTATTTTTAACCACACTAACTATTATATAATCATTAATCTATCACTGTTGTCAAGGTGAGCCACATCTAAGATACCATATGCTGAAGAATTTCCTTGCAGTTAAAAGGTAATGATGACTGATCAAGTCAATAAAACCATAATGAAACCGCTTATATGGGCTTTAAAACTCTATCCATAGTCTATAGAAGAAAGAGGAAGGAAGAGGAGGAATTAGACAGGAAATCACTGTGTAAGTCTGATGATCTATGGGACTGAGGGGTAGGAAGCTAAACACAGGAAGGAAGCTGATTGTTGATTGCAGTGAACAGGTGAGAGGTGAGGTGACTTGAATTGAATTGATGATAATAGGCCGTGATTGAGTCTTTAGTCTTAAAATGCTTGAGGTGTGCCCCAAAAAACCTACCTTTTGCTATTTCCACACTGTCTTTGGTGATTTTCCAATCTATATTTAAACCCAAAGCACCCCAGCTCAGAAGAGAGATCTCCAGACTTTTATTGGCAACAGCAAGAGGTGGGCAGAGGAGCTGTAGTTTGGGTGGTAGCATCACTGTCACTTCGCCCTGAGCAGAAACCTGTGGAAATGCAAAACAGACATAACAATACAGTTACATTGACCAAGACACAGAATCATCCATTAGTTTGACATTTTGTAAAAAATAGTAGGATTAGTAGAATAGCAGATAGTAGAAACTCAGCCAAAAATGAGGAGCTATAACATTCAGGTTTGCATTAATTCCTTGATATATAGTTATATTACCCACCTCTTTGTGGTCAATCCATGCTGTCACACCAATTTTGTATTGGCCAGGAAGTCCATATTTGTGCATGGCTTTAGTTGCCTCGGTTTCAGAGGTGTTGACCCGGGGTGAAAGGTCGCCAAAGTCCCAGGACAGTGTGACGGGGCTGACGGAGGAGGCTGCGGAGAGGCCGATTTGGTTGTGGACACTTTGAGGAGGAAGGGACTTAACTGAGACAGAAAAATCCACTGCAAACACATCATCAGCAAGAGTCCAGCCACATTCCTAAGAACAGAGGAGATCATCTGTTAATACACACAATCTATGAGTTGCAGCACTTTACTACTGATAATTAAAGTGAGATCGTTCACTCAATATTATACAGGAAAACTTGGATTTAACCTTATTTCATTAAGTATTTATACTAAAGATGCACCACATGGCTTTTCAGGTGGAGGGTACATCACTCGCTTATCTCCATGTAGCACAGTACGGTACGGCATTAAACATATTTATCCCCATGGAGACAAGGGGTGACTTCCAGAATAGATCTGTGGGGAGGCTAGCCAGCATTACAAATTATTATTTTCCAAGCTATTTTTGAGTAATACATTATATAATTCAACAAATGCATGACATACAAGTTTAATGCAGTACTGTGGGACTTTTCAGGCAACAAATTAACATCTTTAAGAAGCAAGTGGGGTCCCGCTCACCAGATAACATCTCATAATGCACTTTTAACCTGAAGAGGAATGATACGATTATTATGTTTTGTGATTCATGTAGTGGATTAGATCAGTGAGAGGGAGAAAAATGTCTGTGTTCTTCAGAACGGATGTATTAATTCATTGTTTTTTTCAAATTGATTGGAGCATTAAGTGTAGTCACAAGGTTAAATCTCAATTGTCCATGTACGAAAACACTTACCTCCATGACGCGTGGGTTGGTGCAGGCTGCAGAGCAATGGGCCTCGCTGATGAAGTTGGGTTCAGAGTTGGTACTGCACAGACACTCTCTCCTGGCTCCCAGCCCCCCGTACCGGTGGGACGACATCAGGCAAACCCCTGTACACTGTTTCCGGCTGAAGTTCCCTGGAGTCGAGGAGGAGAAGATCACAAGCTCACTGCGACCTCCTGCTCCACTGCTGCTGTCCTCCAAACAAGCTATATAGTTCATACCTATAAGAAAAGACAAATATGAGCATTTAGCATTGATTCAATATTATATCCAAGGCCTATTTCGAGAGATGACAATATAGAAAGTTTAACTGTTGTGGCCACATCTAAAGCACTTTTTGTGCTGCATTGTTTAAAAAAAATACAAATCTGAAACTTGTCCTTGAGTGTCTTAACAGGTGTTAAGAAATAACAAGTACTTCTATAATTATTAATTTTACAATATTTATCATGAGTACCCCACTCAAATTTCTTCTAGGGGTAGATATTATCTAAACCAGGGGTATCCAAACTTTTTTCACCAACAGCCACAAATCTAAACACAGATGAAACAGAGGGCCGATCGAGGGCCGTAGACTGGTGCTCAGTACAGTGAATAATTGAAATATATGCATGTTTAACATATTAGAATGATCCATCAGTCTTTATTCATGCTAAGATCCTTAAAACCACACACTAAATATTAAATATGAGCTTTATAAAGGTAGATTTTCAAAATACTTGCAGTAAAAAGTTATTTTTTAATTGATGCAAGGTAATTTGGGTCAATTTACCTGGAAGCCTGAGTGCCAAGAAAGATTTGTCTGAGGGCCGCATTTGGCCCACGGGCCATAGTTTGGACATGCCTGATCTAAACTAAGCCACAAAAGTAGTGCTGTGGAGTTAATAGAATTTTAATATAGATTGAGATAATTTCTAATGATGAAGGATCAGTTTGAATCCTTTTAATCAAGTGGTCTACACATCCAATCCTCCATGTCAGTAAAAGCATGTTGCTTGGAGCTCAGTTGGGGGAAGAAATTAGAATATTTTTTGTTTTTAAATTAAAGTCTGTATTGTTTAGGTTAATATTTAAATTTGTTGTGAAAGCTATTTTTGTATTTTTAACAACAAAATAAATGGAATATAAACTGAGATCAATCAATATCAGGAAAAACTGTGATTAATTTTTGTTGATGTAATGTCCTTAGCCTTCCACAAAACCATTTCAAAACACCCTAAAACAGTCTGATACCAATACCACATCTTTTCAATTTTAGGAGCGTTCACATTGTGGTCCATTGCCTTTCCATGTAAGGTTCCCCACTGTGATTATGGATGTATTCTGTGATTTGGTTAAGTGTACCGCAAGTGAGTTGGCTGATGTTGAGGAGTGGGTGGTGGTGAAGCTCTGATGGGTGATTGCAGAGCATGGACTCGGGGCGACGCACTTGGACCCCCTTCTTCTGGAGCCAGTTCACCAGCCTGAAGAGTTTACAGTCACACTCCAAAGGGTTATTGCTCAGGTCACTGTAAAAGCAAAGAAAAAACTGTAGTATTATGAAGTTCAAGTTCAAGAGTAAGTTCAACATATAATGTATTTAATCTTGTATGTTTTGTATTCTGAGCAATTCGAAGTAACCCATGTATTTATTTCTATATATTTTGAATGGGAGAAGGTCCTCAATACAATCTACAAGAAGCTGAAACCAATGAATAAAATACATACCACATTATATTAAAGGTGCGCTGTGTAACATTTCACGTGGAGGGTAAGCCATATGCTTGTCTCCATGCAAATGTTATTGTTTTGCTTGAAATATGTTCCACAGTCTGGCATTAAAATTATCTATCTCCATGGAGACAAACACGTGACCCCAGAGGGCCATGGTACAGGTCAGATCTGTGTAGAGATGACTCCGCTCACAGTGATATTATGTTTTTCAAGGTACTGAAAAGGTATTATATGAGCAGTTAAAACACAGGATCTTTAACTTATTTTGATTCTATTCATATAGTATTTAAAAATATATCTTTATTTAATGTTTTCAGGGCATGAATTTGCAGGTTAGTAATTAAATTGTCAGTGCCATTAATATTAGTGCACATTCACTCTATTTACTTTAATATAAAATTTCTCCTTGACTTTATTTGAGCGTGGTACAATAAGAAAAGATCAACATATAGTGCTTGCACAGGTTACAGGTTTAGTTGATCACAAACTACCCAAACAAAAAGGATCTGGACTCAACCTGCTGAGGAGTAATTACTACTCTTAACCTCCCACTCTTTCCCAATATAGGACACCATTCATCTAGTGTGTAGGTGCACTAAGTGAACTATGCGCCTAATCTGAATACGCTTGATTGAACATGTACAAGATGCCTATGCTCAGATTGGCATGAGAGTTCAGCAAATGTAGGCCTATATGTGCGTGTTACATGGGACGCTGACTCACCCTGCCATTACTTACATTTGCGTTAAATTGCACAGGTTGTCACATATTCGCTCCTTCACCGTTGTGATTTGGTTGTTGCTCAGATCTCTGAAAGAAATGTGTAGATAAAAATGTCAAATATAACTGTATTGTACTGTATCACTGATTTCTATGGATATAAAATGAATCTTAATATACATCTACAGGACAATAGGAACATCATCTACATGAGTGTGGGGGCTAATTCTGAAATTATGACACAGTATTAAATCTATTTTTACTAACATCATAACAGCATTTTAACAGCATATTTTAGTGAAAGTATGCCATATAACACACTACACTACTCCAATAAACAGAATAGACCTGATGCCATTTTTTTGCAATTTGAAATTATGACAGACAGAGAATGAAAAAATGATTGAATAGTTATTTTTCACAAATCTGATCTACATTAGTGAAGATGACAAAGTAATGAGGGCAGAAGCTTCAAACATACTGACATCAAATTTTTATTGAATATTTTACCCGACTGGAAATCTTTTTTTTTTTTTTTTTTTTTTTTCAAAAGAATACCAAAAGCAAGGAGTGGTGTAGTATGGACTTTTTCAGCTAATATTTGTCTTGCTATTGTTGCAAGACAAAAGCATGAATAAGAAACTGACTTGCAATGCCTACAAATGGAAGTAAAGTTGCAGTTAAGTTCACAAAACAAATTTATAACCAAATGCTATTCTTAAATACAAAATATTACTTACTATTGCGTAACTATCCACCAAGTACTCCCTAGCATAAGACTTTCACACATTTTCAAAAAGGAATAATCTTTTTTTTCTTTTCTTTTTTTTTCCACAGTGCTTCTTGAGTGATAGTGGAGCTGTTAAGGACCAAAATAGTTCGCTTTTATGGTACAAGCATGAAATTTTGCCACATTACTAACACCCCCAGGACTAATATAAATTCTAGATATGGAACCAAGCCTAAGTCGACCCTGGAGCCGAGAACTGGACATGTCACAAAATGGACTATATGAAAATGAGGCTGACATAAAAAACACTGCATAATCCCTTTTTTACAGTCTAATTTGCTTAGTTATCCATTTTGTAATGTTGAACAATTTTTCATAAGCTCCAAAGCATTAATGAGGTCATGTGACCATTTTCCTTGTGGCTGTAAGGGTTGTGTGGGCTCCCTGTGGTTGAAATCCAAGTTAATACAATATTTTATCTTTCAAAGCCATATTTATTGGATTTTTGATAACAAAAACAATTTAAACATCTCTAATGACCTGTAAGTGCCTCATCATGTTTCAAAATGGTAATTAAATGCTGCATGGATGTGAGGCATAACCCTAAAAAACATATCAGAGATTTTCCTTAAATTGTTAAACTTATTCAAAGTGCTCTAAGTGCAGCTGCTGCCACATTGGCATGAATCTGTATATGCCAAATTTCTCTTTGCACACTTGCATCACCCAGCACAGGTTTCTGCATCCACACTTGAAAAGTTCATAGCACGTTCTTTGCCTGGTGGAGCATGGTCCACAACTGTAACTAGTGACTGTCATCATGCTTTCATCCCCAATCTGCAGGGCTGGGTGGTGTCTTAAAATACTAAAATTCTTAATGGTGCATTATAACTTTTGTGTTTGGGAGTCCACAACCTGCTTCTTTTATGATGTCACAGCTTTGGCTGGAATCTTTCACTGTACGGCATTAAACATATCAGTCTTGTGTTTATTCAGTTAAGGATTGAAAATGTGTTTATTGCTCAAATACCTAAAATGCAGACATTCTTGCATTTAGTGTGGGACGCCAGTCATTGTGTCCTTAGGCAAGGCACTTCACCCACTTTGCCTAGTATGAAAGTGGTGTGTGTGAGCGATGGTGGTGGTCACAGGGACCGATGGCGCCGATTGGCATGGCAGTCGCGCTTCTGTCAGTTTGCTCCAGGGCAGCTGTGGCTACAGTAGTATTTGTGGTCTTAAAAATGGGTTTATATCTTTATTACAATCAATATCATCATTCCATTTTCTCGTTCCAGATCGAGAGATCGCAATGAAAATACGACAAAATCTGTCACAAAACCTGGTCTAATCTTGATTTAATTTGGTCATAATCCCAAATCACCATCTCCACAGTTTCAAAGGTGTTCTCAGTTTGGTGTGGGATTACTGGAATGAGCCGTCCACCTCTGCTCTAGTCATTATTGTTATTATGATACTGTGATGGGTTAGGAGGGATTTTGGGGCATACATTTGTTAGTAGTATTAAAGATGTACTATGTAACTTTTCTGCTGGGAGCAAAAATGGCAGTGTTATATTGTTCCTCAGTATGTCATTAAACTTGTATATCTCCATGGAGACAAGAAAGTGGCGCAACCAGGCCATGTTTACAGGTTATATATGTTATATACATGTATATATAGGTTATATAAATAGGTTTAATGCCTTACTGATGAATATTTCAGGCAAAGCAATAAAATCTCCATAGTAACAAGCAGGTGTAACATCTATAACAAGACTGCATTAAAGAAACTTAAGTCAGCTTCAGGTTTTATCTACAAAGTCTCATATAAAATGCTAGTCACTACAGTGTAGTTAGAAGTTTTTATGTGTATACTTTATACTTTTATTCAAGCACAAGTAGTACTTGTCACTGAGTAGATGTTTTGCTATGTAACTGTACTTGTACTGTACTCACAGAACAGCTGATTGAACCATTAAATATACAGGCTAAAGAAAGATTAGGGGGGAGAGAGAAATGAAGATAGAAAATCAAACCTACACAAAACTATTTTCATGAAGTTTTACTTTTGCCTTGAAGTGGGACTAAACACATAAACTCTGCCCACAAACACATTTCAAATAGCGCTTATAAACTGAGTGGTACCTGGAGGAGTAAAGGAGAGAGGGGCGGGGCTAGGGGGTATAAGGAACAGTGTGATTGGTCTAACAGGCATCCACACTACAAACTCCTACAGCCAGGGATTTGTAAACAGAAAAAAACTGGCTGTAATCAGGGCAGTTCTACGTGATGTCACATAGTACTTGATATCACAGAGGCCACTAGAGTTCACACACACTCATTTTTACACATTGTTGCTCAGATTCTTTTGCTAATTTACCTAGTTTTCTCTAAAATTACCAAACAAACACTAGAAACAGTAAATGACACTATTAAAGATGCACTGTGTAACTTTTTGATTCGGGGCCCGTCACCTGCTTGTTTGTATGGAGATGTCATTGCGCTGCCTGGAATGTTCCACAGTATGACATTAAACAGCTCTACCTTACATTTATTCAATTACAGGTGGTTTTATATCTCAAAAATACCTAGAAAAACAGACATTCTGACTGTGAGCAGGGTCGCCTCTCCACAGATCTGACCTGTAATTTGGCCTTGTTTAGTCTCTATGAAGATAGAATGGTACATTAATACCATACCGTGAAACACAAAGCAAAGACAAAGCAATAACATATACATGAAGAGAAGCATTTGACGGACCCTCAACCAAAAAAGTTACACAATGCACCTTTAAAAAAACACCATTAGTTTAGTAGCTTTTTTGTTGTTGTTGTTGTTATTTAATATTTACTTTCACTTTAAAAACAGCATTGAAAGTAGCTAGTATCTTGATACATATTCTTCTTTATAACCTATATGATAATTTAACATTATTTTCCAAAAAAGAAGGTTTAAGCAATAATTGAGCTCCCAGCCTCGTTTCCATGTCGGCCATTTTGTGACATGCGCAGTACTCGGCTCCAGGGTTGACTTGGGCTTGGTTCCATATCCAGAAATGTTGGTCCTAGGGATGTTAATAATCTGGCAAAGTTTCATGCTTGTACCATAAAAATGAACAATTGGGCACTATTTTGGTCCTTAACAGCTCCACTATAATAATCTACCTCCTACTATTTTAATCTGATGATTCCTCAATATTTATTTGGGTTTATTACAGGCACAAAGAGAGGATTGGGTAGAATTTAAATCCCTATTAACATTTAAATTTTTGCTTGTTTATGTTTTTCTTGAAATTGCACTAACTTTTGTCCCAGTTCCTCTCCCTCCCGCCTATGCACAGTCAGTACATAATGGGCCTGTTGTATGGTGGTTTGGAAGGTTCTGATGGAAACCGCCAGTGATCTCTCTCTCTCACCACGGCTAAATGGGTGGAAGAAATAAGCTAATAGTTGGAGGAGGGGGGACATTTTGGTGAATGGTTTCTGATCCTGTTCCTTTCCTGTTAAAACTTCTGTCTTTTTGAATCCAATTTATTCTCGGTGAACTGAGCAAAGTCAAGAGGGGTGTCAACAGTCAACAGTAAATAACTAGGGCTGCATTCAGTCAGATATGCTGCTTGAGTCTTTTTTAATCGAGAGGTCTACACTACAGCCAATCTTCTTTGAATAAAAACATGTGGTTTGGAGCAGGGTTCAGACTATGGGGGAGAAAATTTGACTATTTTTTGAATTAAATGTCAATGATTAAAAGTTCATAAACTTAAAAATGTAATACTGGAAAAATACTGAATAGAGTTTGGAGTAGCAGTAAATTAAGACTTAAGTAATATTACAGACATTACTATTATTTTGTGTTGAAAATTTTGTGTTGAATTACTTTGTGTTGAAAATGGGATTTTACTTTCTTTGTTATAATATATATTTTTTATTATTATTATTATTTTTTTTTTTTTTGAAAATCGCTATTGCTACTTTGCAGCTGATGTCTTCAACATTCCCTTGGGGTGTGATGCTAACTGTAGGCTCTGCTCTGTCTGAAGTTCTGTTATCCAAATCTAAGACTTTAATCTGAGCTTTTTTAAATACAAAAAAAAAAGATGAGTTACATGGAACTACAACAGGTGAGCTGATTTGTGCCTTTAAACAAGTCTCTCACACATAAAATTACAGTCACAAGCTAACTAGCAACTGTTTAGTCTTTTTCACCTTTTTGTTGTAAACAAACAACTAATCAGGACCATGAACATACATATTAATCACAGGCTCTTGAAAATATGTTCTTGAAAATGTTTTCAGACAATTTAAAAACTTTCATTTTTAATTTGACCATTAAATTAATTTGTCCATTTAATTCATTAGTTACCATGGTGCCACAGTGCATCATGGTAACTAATGAACATTACGCCACAGAAATACATAGAAAGGTTTCAATAGAGAATTTCTATAGCACCAAAATAAAGACTCTAACATTAGTCACATGACTGCAGTACTCTGATAAAGTTAAGCAGTTACTCACAGCACAGACAGCGACCCACAGCAGAAGACGCCGCTGGGCAGAACATTGATCCTGTTGCCCTGCAGATACCTGACAGAGAGACATATGTTATTATGGCAGACTTTATTTTGTAAATATATGTGTTAACATAGATTACACTGTGTTGGAATACTCACAGCTCGCGAAGGCCAGTGAGCCGATCCAGCAGGCTGGTGTCGAGGGAGGAGATGTGGTTTTTGGACAGGTTGCTGCCGTAAAACATAAGGAGATCATGAATGTGATTATGAGATGACACATATACAATGTGTGTAAATTATGGATGACCCTATATACTGCAGAGGAAATATTAATGTGGCTTTGAAAAGATGAGTCACATCACTGTGTTACATATTATGCATTTAGTGGAACAACATGCAAAAAGAACACATGATGAAACATAATATCTTCTCTTCTATTAAGGTATCAGTAAAGACAAGGAGACAAGAGACAGGAGACAAGAGAGCCTTTTAGGGCCACAGACTGAAGCTGTCATTTGTCGCTGCCTCAATTAAAATGCTAAATTCCTACAACAGCCTTTTGCATAGCACATTAGCACTGTCTCATGGTACATTTCACAGTCAAGAATTTTGAAAAACAGTCTTTAATAGCATGTCAAGGAGCATTAAGATTTAGGGAATGAGCTAAACCAATTAGCATTTCAGGACTAGGGATGCACCATTTTGATACTGGTATGAGATATTGGTGCTGATATTGAAAATTTCAAATGGATATCGGTTCAATCGATAAGCTCATTTTGTTCTATAAATTGGTGTAATAAGACAATTTAATGGCCCGTGTTAACTCAAACCACCTCGTAATATTGAACTTGTGCGTTTTCAAAGGTCTTCTATAGTTAAAAGACGGTGAAAATGACCAAACTTATGTAAATACATTACATACTGTGTTAAAGTATAAAGTGGTCAAAAAAGTCAGATGCATTAGAATAAAAGTCCTTTAATGGTGCATCAATACATGTTGACTTGTCCCAGGCAACCATTAAAGGACTGGAAAAGGAGTTTCGGACTTTTTTGACAGCTTTTTCCTTTAACACAGTAAGTTTTTATATTGCTATCTTTGGTTATCTTCACTGTCTTTTCGCATTTGAGCCTCGTCCTCAAGGAGCACCTGCTGTGGACATTGATACTGTAGTGTAATAAAGACAGTTGATGACAAAAATAGTCAAAGAAGTACATGGGAACAGAGCACAGTATATCTCCTTTCTGATTGTGTATGTGTGCGTGCGTGCGTGTGTGTGTGTGCGTGCGTGTGCATGTGTGTGTGTATGCATGCACGTGTATGTGTGCATGCACATGTTTGTGTGTGTGTGAAAAGACGCCCATTCCCAAAAGGAAACATCTGTACATTCCAGACACGCTGAGTAAGGAAGATGGGAGAGAGGGAGAGAGAAGTAGGGAGGGAAAGAGATGGGAAGGGAGGGAATAAAGGAGAGGAGCAGGAAAGGTACAGAGGAAGAGGAGAGAGATAAGGAGGGAGGAAGAGAGAGAGGAAGTACGAGGAGAGGGATGGAAAGTGACAGAAAGGGAGGAAGAGGAGAGAGATGGAGATGGAGGAAGTGGGAGAGAGGCAGTAAGCGAGAGAGGAAGATGGAGGGTTGAGGAGAGGAGAGAGAGGCAGTAGTTACGAGCAAAAGAGTGAGAGGGGCAAAAGTGAGGGAGGGTAGAAAGAGAAGGGGATGAGAGATAGATGGAGTAAGGGAGAGAGAAAAAGGGGGAGGAGAAAGGAGTGAGAGTGGGAGTTAGAAAATGAAGGAGAGAGTAGGAATAGGAGAGAGAGAGAGAAAGAGAGAGAGAGAGAGAGAGAGAGGAGAAGAGGGAGGGAGAGTCAGGTCACACTTCAAGATCAGAGTACAACCAATGGTAAGATAGCTCTGACTGTTTGAATGGAGGAATCATTTTGCAAATCTGGTGTAGTTTTTCTTTTTATCTCAGTTTAATCCTGAAGTACATTTAGTTACATTCATTTAGCCAAATTCTAAAGTTCTAGTCCTGATATAGTCCAGGGATAGTTTCGGGTTTAGTCCCAGTTTAGTCCCAAATTTGATGTGGTCTGTGCAGCCTCATTCTGCTCTACTGTTGCTGTGGTTAAAATGTTTTGGCCAGTGTTGCGCCTTCAGAGTTAAGAGCTAAATTATACCTGGTTTAGTCCTAATTTAGACCTGTTTTGTTCTAAAGTGAGGTTTATAACTTAACCTTAGTTCAGAGATGAGGAAGGCCGGCAGGATGATACATAAAATATATAAATAAATAAAAAGCATAGATCAGAGGTTTTTGTTAACGGAGGTTTTGTTACACAGGTACACTGGTCTTAGTCTTAGAATTGTTCTGGTTTAAACCTGGTTTAGTCATACAATGTGTAATAGTGCCTAGAAATATTATCTGTATCAGTGATGAAAAGAATACTTGTAAATGTATTAAATGTATTTACAATGTATTTTGTAACATATTCTGATACATGGGCCAATCACAGTACTGTATTCTTATTAGGAATACTATGACACAGTTGCATTTCAATTATTAAAACAGAACATAGGATTAAAGCTTTACATTTGTTTCACTGTCTGTTATGTATTTCCTGGAAAAGGAAAAATCATACTTGCACGCACCACAAGAGTAGTGGTTTCTATGTTTCTCACTAATCATGTGCAGTTTGAAGCCTTAATTAAGTAGTGCAATGCATTCCTTTGATTTTAGGAAAGTAACTGTAGTCTGAATAATACCAAATGAAAAAGTAACAGTACTGGAATACAGGTACTCAAAATTAGTATTTTGTATGTGTATTCTCTGTACTTGTAGTCAGTTACTTCCCGACATGGTCTATAATATGCGATGGAATAAATAATGACACACACACTGTGGAAGACACTAGACTGCGGATCATAGTGAAAGCTCAGATTAATGTGTGTTTACCATGACCATATAATGTGACCTCCTTCATGTCGATTAGCAGCAGGCTCCTGTTCTCTGAGCTACCTACCCCGCCTGGACACACATGGCTTGATTTTCACACACACACAGACACACACACACACAGATACAGACACACACACGTACGCACATATGGTTCTGTTTTACTTACAGTGTGGCCAATGATCTAACCATTCCTTATAAGGCCTGTCTGGTGCCACTTATTCTGAGCTGAAGGATGAGAACACACTACAAGCTTCACTGGTGCTGCTATACAAAGGAAATGAATGAATAGGAGCTGGTATTCAAGTTTTCTGTTTAAACCAAATAATATCAGGTACAGCAGTCAAGGCCACACTGACCAATTCATGATAAAGTTAGAGTAAAAGAAGAAGCGCTGTAGTCGACTTAATAATGGCCAATTAAAGACATGAAAGAGAGAGAAGCAATAGGAGACCTGGTATGCATCTGACTACTGCACTCACAAGACTAAACCTGCACGGGGTTCATACAAAACCAACTATTTATGCAGAAAGAAGTACTAGGAAACAATATGTTTATATAAACACAGAATAAACTTGTCAATAATTGTTTTATCTGTCCTTTTTGGTATATAAATACCAATAATAAAATCTTCAACTAACTCACTCACTAACATCTCCTGTCTGCAGTCCCATATAAATCCTTATAATCCAAATAAAAATGATTAGTTAATACAAATTTTGGTTGACTAAGAAACATAATAACAAAATAACTACTGAACACAAATAACTTGTACAAAATTGATACAAATATGTAATTGTGTGTTGTTGTGTATTCATCAAGCAACTGCTAGTAAAATGTGATTTCAATCTCTCACAAACCATTCACAAACAGAAATCCAAGCTTTTGGTTGGAAGACAAACATATCTACAAGGCAATAAAAAGTATATTTATTTTATTATTTATTACCAAATATTTTGCCCCTCTATGATTATGACTTAAATGGCAAATAAAAGAAGGCCCATATATTTATAGAGTCGACTCTCTACTTCAGCATCAACAATGTCCCTCCACTAAACTGAAGTGCAGCCAAACCACAATTTCTTATAAAATTCAGATACCGCACAAGTTTCTAACAGTGACAAACCCATGGGGCTGCTGGGACATATGGAAGTATTTGAAAATCATCCAGAAATCAGCACTGCTCAAAGTTGCATTTGTTTCAGTAAATAAATAAATCAATGATGGTTCTTAAACTATAGATTTAAAGTTCTCCATGTCTGAGTCCAAAACGAGACTGCATAAAAACCTGTCATATATGTCTCCTGTGCAAATAAACAAATGCAGTAGATCTAAATGGGTTCTGCAGTGCACTGATTGGAGGGACACATGTTGCATTGTGGGTAAGCGTTGGTCTGGTCACAGTAAATCAAGGGCTGCGCTCCACTAACCCACTAAAAACAGTCTGCTCTGTGGTCTCTTTCATCGACCCCCCCTCCTCTCTTCCCCCGATCATTACTTCCACTCACTTCCTGTATTTCCTCCATGGCTCTCTGTTTATGTGCAGTCTACAGGAGTCAGTCATGTGAAGAAAGCGCTGCGGTGGGGACTAAACAAGCCACTCAAAATTGCTTTAAGATGCTGAAGAGAACAACTACTTCTACTCTTGACTTTGGGCAGGACAACAGATCACAAAATTACTCAAACTGCAATATGAACAATAGGTTTAAGCAGGTTTTTCCAAAAAAAAAAAAATCTATATCCAGATACTATTTGTTTCTCAACCTAATTGTGATACTAGATATAACCTTCCCTGAATAGTTTAATTATATAGTTTTAACACACGGTAAAATGAAACAAACTACTTTTGTTTTGTGTTGAAAATTGAATGTTATTGAAAAAAAAATATCTAAATTTGTACATTGTACAAGTATCATGACACTAAAGCTTGGTTCAGCCTTTTTACACAGTGGAGTAAACAATGAGATTTGGTCAATAAAGAAAATAGAGTGTAAAGAATGGGCAGAGACATTCAACAAACTGTCAAGCCAGAACATGCTTTTTTATAATAGCTGTATTATTTGTGGTGTAGTATTTATATTTAACAGAGACTTAGCATTGTCTAAGATATATTAAATAACATATTCTGTGTAATTTGGTTATTTCCACTGACTCACAGAAGCTGACTGTGTTTTGGCTGCTGTGGTTGGGACATCAGGTAGAAACTGTTGAACAATTGCTGCACTGTGAGCTGCCTATGACCAAGCTCCAACTTTGGAAACTGACGTAGCCTAAACCAGAGC